TAACGACCTGCACACAACACCGAACACACATGGAAATATTTTGTAAATATACTCATTACTCCCGATGATTGGATAGGCTCTTATGTATCCAATGGATACATGGTAATCTGGTGAAGGGAGGGAGGGAGTGAGTGAGGGAGGGGAGGGGAGGGAACAGCTGGGAGAGGAACTCCCCATCTCCGGTGGCCCACCCCCCATGCTGGGCTGCAATAATTTCAACTTACAATCTGAATGTCTCGTTCCACTCGGGGTTGAGGGAGCACTTGATGGTTTTGGTCTTCTGTTTGCTCTCACTTTTGGGGTCAGGAATGAGTTTCAGTTTCACATAGGGATCTGACAAGCCATTGGGGTCCATGGGGACAAGGTTTTTAGCATCTCTTACTGGAAAGAGAGAAAGCACTTTCAGCATGAATAACGCCCAGAACGTTTAAGCACCAACGGGCAATGGCTGTAGAGACTGTGGGAGGGCTCTTGGCACCACACTCACTTAATGGGAATTTTATTTTATTAACCTCAATAGCTAAGATGTAAGCAAAGCGAGATAAACTGATGAGATGTGGGCTCTGCTCTGCATTGGTCTACAATGGATTGCTGACTTTCTGCACTCGCCCCCTCCACCCCCAAGGTTGACTGTCCGTTCTCTGAGTGTGTTTCCACAGAGGCCACGGGAAGACTGGCACCTTCCATTTAGCACCATGTTCTCAAGGCTCGTCCATGTTGTAGCACCAGCGCTTCCCTTACGCTGACTAACAGTCCATTGTACGCACAGACCACTTGCTCGCACTCCTCAGCTGACCAGCATTCGGCTGTTTCCACCTTTGGCCATTGTGAATAGGGCTGCTATAAACATGTGTGCAGGCCTGACACAAAGGCTCACGTGTTGTATGATTCCACGGATGTGAAACATCCTGACCAGGCCATTCTCATAAACAGAAAGCAGACTAGCAGTTGCCAGGGGCTGGGGTAGGGGGAGAGTGGTGAGTGACAACTTAGTGGGTATGTGGTTTCCTTTACAGGCGATAACAATTTCTTGGATCTGGACAGAGATGATGGCTACGCGCACACTATGAATGTACTAACTGCCATTTTTTTCTGTTATGTGAATTTTACTCAATTCAAAAAGAAAGAGCTAGAAGAGAAAGAGATGTCCACTAAACCAAGGTACACCCATCATCCATGCAGCACCCGTACCCAGAACCCAAACAGCCCATAGAGAGGAGAATGGAAAAATACTGGCTCCACCCTCCGTCAAGAGCACAGCCTAGAGAAGGAAAGAAAGCAGAGGGCAGGGAGAAAGCAGAGGGCAGGGGGTGTAGGCGCTGGCCACATTACGGTGGGATACAACACCGGGCTGGAGAAACAGGAAGTAGTTCATTAGTAGCCAAGGGAAGGAGATGAGAAAATGGAAGTTGTGTAGATCTTGTGAGTTGTACAGATCTTAAGGATACAGTGCCAACCATCTCACTTGTGAAAAAAAAATCCAAAGTAATATATTGGGTTGAATTAAGCTACATATTAGAAGGCTAGTATATAATGACTCCTAGCAAGAATGCAAAGACGGTTCAATCTTAGGAAATCTATTGTTAAAATAGTCATCATATTTACAGGGCAAAGGGGGAAACCACCAGATCACTGCAGTTAGCTAGAAATAGCTGATTTCATTCACGGAATAAAGGGTGTCTGAAATAATAGCACCACAGTTAATGATAAATGCAATCCCTTAAATTCAGGAATGAGACAGATATTCATGACCACTGCCATGATTCAACATTGTTTATAACTGTACCAAAAGTGCAATAAAACACTGGAAACAGAACTTGGCATAGCAGGGGATAAAGCACTCGGTACTGCGGCATCCTCTGCTTCCACCCATCATGTTACTTCCGATGGAGCCTGTCATCCCAAGTAATGACACCTCTCTCTCAATCCATTCTCAGTCCCCACAAATCTTACACCACTTCTTTGCATCTCATTCCTGCACCAGGAGCAAGCGTGTTTCCTTTGATTCAGTTATGTCCCATAGCAAGTCCCTACTATGTGTAGGCATTCTGCTAGGAACAGGGGACAAAAGGGACAACATAAGATGCTGATCCTGTCCCCAAGGAAGACATAAAACCAAATTTATGCAACATATAGTTGATTTCTAATGACACAGTAGCCAGGTTGTACAGTGTTGTGGATACAGGGCTGCAAGATGCCGGAGTCTGCATCTTCCCTATCATTACTTCACATTCCTGAACTCAATTTCTTGACTGATAAAATGGAGGTAATGCATAACTCATTGGCTGTTAGGAGAGTACAATCAGATAGAGAATATACATGTTTGGCACAGAATCTGGGGCCTAGGGAATAGTCAATAAATGCTAGCTATATTACTGTTATTTCATTACTAGAAGCCCAGTACACGAAATTCATGCACTCGGGGGGGGGAGAAGGGGAGGTCCCTCAGCCCAGATTGTGAGAGGGTGCAGGCCAGGCCAAGGGACCCTACCGGTGCACGATCAGGGCTGGGGAGGGACGCAGGGGGTTGGCTAGCCAGGGAGGGACCGCAGGAGGGCTCCAGGGCATGTCTGGCCCATCTTGCTCAGTCCCGATCGCTCAGACCCCAGCAGCAAACTAACCTACCGGTCAGAGCGCCTGCCCCCTGGTGGTCAGTGCAGGTCATAGTGACTGGTCAACCGGTCAACTGTGTGCCCCCTGTTGGCCAGTGCACGTCATAGCAACTGGTCGACCAGTCGACTGTCTGCCCCTGGTGGTCAGTGCACATCATAGTGAGCGGTTGAGCAGCCTTAGCATATCATTAGCATATTATGCTTTGATTGGTTGAATGGCCAACCGGACACTTAGCAAATTAGGCATTTATTATATAGGATTATTTTATCATTATTACTCACAGCCCTCCTTTAATAGATTTGTCCATTTTTATTATGGAGATTTAACCATTTCTGAATGAACTGATATGAAGCAGTGGTTTCTCTTCCTGAGAACAGTGCATCTGACCTTTGCACCTGACCCCTTCCGGGAGCGCCTTTCAAACCCCAGCATGCAGCGGGTCTCTCAGGCTGGGCGGCAGAATCCCGCGCCCCACCCTCAGACAGACTCTGACTCAGTAACTCTGGAGTGACCTGCTCACCTGCTTTTCTAACAGATGCCCAGGTGAGTGCATGCACAGAGCACCGTAGGTAAAGTATAGCACAGTAGGTAAAGTATGCATCTGGTACAAGTCCTTAGGATGCCCGTGCAGTCTCCCCATAGTGCAGCGGTCTCAACTGGTGGCCACAGCATGTTTAACACCTGCAATTCCTGACTGTTTAGTCAGGGCCACTGACCTCTTTTCCCAGAGATTGTCACATAAAAAATGACAACAGCCAACACAACAATAGCTAGCCGGTGTGAAAGAATCCAAATTATACCTATTTTTTGTCAGATCGGCAAAAGCTATTTAATACATTTTGGTGTGCTGCCGAATTTTAGTAACTAGTTTATACGCCATGAGATAGGAAGGTTGAGAATCGCTGCCATAAAACACAAACTCATCTCAAGAGGACTAGCCCATGCCAGCGGCTGGGCTGGGAGCTCAGGGGGACTCCTCCACCACATCGTAAGCTGCACAGACACTGGGCTCAGGAGCTCTGACGTGCCGGGAAGCTGGCTGACTGGCCACACCTATGCAAGTGGACACAGCTCATCTTCTCTCCGCCAGGACTGGGCCAGGGCCGCACCCTCATCCGAGCGGAACTGACACGGCACTGTCACAGGAGAGCACGCGTCCCTCGGAGGGTGACCTCACAGCTGCTCTGCACAGCAAGAGCACTGCATTCTCGAGCCAGTCTCACAGCTAGTGGTGTGCAGTGACCTGCCCTCAGCGGCTGCTTCCCGTGATCGAGGCTGACTCCACCCTCTCCCGGCCCTGAAGGCTCCTTTCCTCCACTTTCTCGGTTCCGCCCTCTGCCAGGGCCAACAGTTTCTGCGGGAGGAATGGAGCGGAACTGGTTCTGGGACTGAGACTGGGGCGCTCACATCTCCAGGAGCCGTGGCTCCTCACGGCTGCATCATGAGCGGCTGACGGCAGTTACAGGCCTGACCCGCCTAAAGCCGTTCAAAGTCAAGTCCTTTTCCCAGCAGCGAGAGAGCCGCCGTGTGTGGAGGAAGCCTCTCTCGAGCCCACGCATGGCCATGGACTTTGATTTTCCTTGAGAAATGCTTTTCTATCTGGTTAGTGTGCTCCCCCCGCAAAGTTCACTGCACCGCTGGCCGCGACGTGGGTGTGAGCACATCGACTTACAGGAATGCTTAATCTGAGGGAGAGGTAGAGCAGCCTGGTTTGGGGGTTGTGAGCAAAAGAGACCAAATTTAGCCTTCTCTCTCACATTCTGAATTTATTGCAAAGAGAATGAATCCTTTTATTAATGGAGTATTCATCTTTTTAAAAATTCAGTATGCCCCTGTCCTGCCCTGGCCAGTCTGGCTCAGTGGGTAGAGTGTCAGCCTGCAGACTGAAGGGTCCCGGGTTTGATTCCGGTCAGAGGCACGTAGCTCAGTTGCAGGCTTCATCCTGGCCATGATCAGGGCGAGTGCAGGAGGCAACGAATCAATGTGTCTCTCTCACATCAATGTTTCTCTCTCTGTCTTCGCTCTCCCTTCCACTCTCTCTAAAAATCAATGGGGAAAAATATCCTTGGGTGAGGATTAACAAAAAAACAAACAAAAAGAGGAATCCATTGTCCTGGCCTTGAGGGACCCCATCCTGTTTCCCAAAGACTGTAGAGCAAGGGGTCTGCAGAGAGATGCTTAAACACCCAGGGTCTGCATCACTGAGCGCTGGTGAGCCACGCATGGACACGGGACACCCTCAGCACGTCCCCCAGCATCCAAGCAGGGGTGGAGGGAGAGAGGCTGACCAGGTGAAAAATCTCATAGCCACCATCTCTTCGCTACCCTGCCCTGCCCTTCCTCTATTCCAGTGACCCCGGCCTTCGGTTAAACCCCAAGGGGAGCCCACTGCCCTGCCACACCTTTTTAAACTGCAAGCTTCATTAGCCCTCCTCTCGTCAACCATTCCTGATTCCCGTTTGCTTATTACTTCTTCTACCACAGGTTCTCTGATGCCGTGGCAGTGAACACTGGCTCCATCAGTCTCCTTCCAGCCCCTTTACTGGCCTTCCCCTGGGACCTCATCTTATCTCTGATGACAACGCAAGCACGCCCGGGGTCTCCGCCAGCCCACAGTGGGCACGTGGTGGCCACAGGCCCCTAGGACAGCCGGCTCCCTGTCCTGCTGGCGTGGCGCAGCCTGCACACATGGGCCTATCCATGTGGAGACAGACTTCCCGGTGGGAAGTCGCGGTGCCATTCTCGCAGAAAGCCTGTCGAGCCACGGC